ATATCGATTCAAGACCGACTGCAATACACGTCGGGTAACCCCATGTTGCATGAAGCTGCTTCCCTTAGTGGCAGTCGGGTGTCTCCTACAAGGCTGGCCTCGTAGATGGAGCTGAAAGGCGCTGGCATGTTTCTCATTGATTACATCATCCAGATCCCATACCTGGCCTTCCTTATCATCATACCATGTCAAGAGGCATCGAACACCTTCTAATTGGCAGTAGTGGCCTAGGCCTACCTTTCCTACCAGCTCTCGAAGACGATCTCCTATGCTGTACAGTACAGCTACCCTTCTTGGCTGTCCTACATACAGTATATCAACAAGATAAACCCTATCCTGGCGAAGTCTCTGCTGACGCAGCAAACCAACAACATCAATAGGGCGACGTCTCAAGGAGAGAGGTGGAGGTTGCGGATCGGCAACAGCAAAGGAGATGGGCCACTCCTGTTCGATGTCTCTCCACTCTAAAAGGACGGTTTGAGTTGCCGAACGCCTTGCGTCAATCACACAAACCCTTGCTGCGGCTGCCACCTGATTACTCACGACCCAAGTATAGACTATGTAAGTAGGGACGTCACTGAGCTCAAAGTTGGCATCTAGCAGATGACTGCCGCTGGAATGGTGCACATTGTCTCAGCTCTAGTTCCTCCATCAGCAATAGGAAGTTCCGACAGTGCACGCTGGAAAGCTACTTCCTCCAGTTCAAATTCTTCTTGCCAGGAGGGTGGACCGTTTTGCATGAAGGAAACATGTTCCATCTCCTGCGACAGACCCTGTGAACTTGCCGTTTCAACACGAGACGCTTGTTCCAGTTCATCACTATTGTCACAGGTAGTACTTTCATCAGTGGTTTCATCCCTTTCTATTTCAGTCATTCTCAACAAAATGCCCTCATACAATGGTACAGCTTGGTGCCACTCAAAGAAAGCAGCACCACATCGAAGCGTACACTCGGCACGCCAAACACATTGGTTTTGGGGGCTGACAAGATCAAAAATCTGATGGACAGATAGCCAGGTTCTCACTCGGAACACAAAACTGGCCTGCTTAAAGCTCCTATCCGTCTCATATTCGATCAAGGCAGGGGCCAACCCTTGTCCAGTGAATGTTGTGACAATGAAGTGTGGCTCCGGTCCTCTACCACTGCTAGGGGACGGCCAAACTGGAAAATATAGCAAGGACGACGACCAAAAGTGTGAGCCCATCGACTTCTTATATTATGGCCGAGTGGCAAATCGGGATTATGCGTGATGATCCGCAATTCCCTCTGCAGCTGCTTGATGTATTCCGCATGATGCATCCAAGTCAGAACATCCGCTCTTATGTTACCACCAAGAACCCTTCTAACATGTCGGGTCAGCATGTCTTCCATGACTGGCCGAACTTGCATCAGGAACGTGGTATCCTGCAGCGGATCGATCGTGAAGTCAGCTACGAAATGCCTCTCAGTGGAACTGTCAAAGGAACATGCAGGTTCCAGGTTGAGCTCAAAATCCATTCTGTCACCATTGAAGAAGTGTATATGGTCATGTCGTCCATACTGTTTTCCTCTGTGTGCATACGTCACTTTGACACCATGGACCAATTCCCTTGGGAGATTCTCTTCTCGCAGTATCTCATCAAAAGGAAAAAAGGTTTGCAACCGGTGTGATTGTAATGCACATCCCGGCTCTTCACTAGTAGTCCAGTGAGAGAGTACAGGAAAACCTTGCAAGCTTGGCCATAAATCTATAATCACATGCACTTGGCCATTCAGCACTGCGCTCTGCGGTTGAGGCTCGACAAGATGCAACGCAAAGGACTCCCTACGATCATAGTGGTCCCGCCACTGTCGTTCTATTCGACCTTGTAGTCCAGGCAATATGTTCTTCTTTTTGTCATAGACATTCAGAGTCCGAGTTGCAACATGTCTGCCTTTGAGTCCATGCAAGTACAAGTGAACTTCTGAAAATTGCTCTTGTGTTACTCGAATCTGTTGCCAAAATTCTTTGGGCAGGGTATCCACAACTGATGGAGTTGATGCTCGATCAAACGCTTGTCCTCTGGAGGAGTAGCCATCATGGCCAGCTGCCGTCCCCCATGACGAACTTTGCATCAACGAGAATTCTTCAGTCATGGTATCCCTGTCGTCCAAATATTTAGGAGAAATTCCCTGGAGCAGACAGGTCAGGGGGTGTGAGCCACCAAGCCCCCTTGTTAGGCACCTATCCTTTCCATCCATATCATGTTTGTTGGTATCAAAGGACAAAATTGCATCGACAGCAAGGACACTTTGTGGTCCTAGTGCTGCCCAAAACTGAGATGCTCGATTGGGCTCCACATCAAACCTCAAGGAACGTGCTCTCCTTGATGGCGATTCCAGGTGCATCCAAGAGCAATGGCCTTCTTTGTCATCCCAAGGATGTTGCACGGAACAATAATCCCCACAAGGCAAAGAGGGATCAAAGTTTTCATAATGAGGCATTTCATGAGCCAAATTGCGCGTAATCCAATTGCTGTCCTCTATCAAAATGCAGGTACACACAATCAAAGCACGAAGACCCATTTTCATCGACTTGGTTCCTGATGGACCTGAACAAGTGGCTTTTGCCCCCTTCGACAAAGGGAAAGAACATCTTTGTCGGAAATGAAACCACCCGTATCCACCAGTCAAAGCCCCAAGTGACGAAGCAAAAAGCCAGAAAAAAACCTTTTTGGATTGCTGCGAGGATATGCACACCCCATTCAGCACTAGCCATGGCGTCGTCCTCAAGCTTCACATCTCCACATTCCAGCATTACCCTCACTAATGTATAGATCAGTCCATGGAGGAGCGAACAATAGTGGAGTTGCAGGAAAAGCGATCGTTGTCCACCACCCCCATCAAGGAAAGAAAGTGGAGCGCGAACAAAATGACAAAGTTCCATACCCCAGCATACTATAACCAAAGCCAGCAATGGAGTCAGGAACATAGTGACAAAAAGGTATTGGGCCATCTCAGAAATGTAGCCAGTGTCAGTTCGTCCGCATGGCAGAAACAAATGCTGCCAGTCTGTGCCAGTCGAACAGTGCTGAAACCACTTTCCAAAACAGAGTCGTAGAAAGCTCGGAGCTTCCTCGCGTTGGGTACAACCCAAATCTCTAGTGAACCACTCATCATTCAAGCCAGCGATCCATTGTCCCAATCCCATAGGAAGACCGTTGAGGAAACATACACTGTCACCCCATCGTGAGAAAGGAAGGCCTGAAAAGCTGTCATAGATCTTCAAAAAGAAATTGGTGCTGCCTTCAAAGATGGCGCACTCTCTGTTGAACCAGGCAATTGCCCCATCTGGTTCACTCATATTGTCATTGCGTTGAGTGGGGAATGAGTATCCCCTTTCGCAGAGGAACTCTCTTCCGCTGGCAAGGCCTTGGCTCTTCCTTTGCCAGATCGATGCAATCCCGATTTGGAAATCTCCCTGGAGTTCCAAAAGGGCTGCAAAGGACCCCTTCCAATCGGCTCGATCTTGAGGTCCTCGGGAATTTTGGTCACCTGTGCCATCATCTGTTGGGTCAAAATGATGATGGTCTCGACCGTTGGAAATTTCTCTGGTTCGGCACGAACAATTGCTAATACATGCTCCTGATGCTCTGGGGAAAGAATGTCCAACGCATCTTTGACAGCCTGATGTGTCAATGGATCGACTTCTGCCTCCAGGTCTTCGATGCGACATGGGGAGCGTGACCTGTCTCTTGAATTCCGGGAGACACGTTCTGTCGAGACACTTGCCAATCTCGCCGCCGAAGGTGGCTTCACCATTTGAGGAGAATCGTGTGGCAATGTCTCCGCATTGCCCTTGACAGCTGTCAGTATGAAACCTGATATGCCAGATCTTGATTCCGCTGTTCGATGGTCTCCACATAGGAGGCCATCTGATACATCTGACGATTCATGGTCTCGAGCTTCGAAGCTACTGTGCCATCCTCCCCATTGGAAGTGTCCATGTTCTTCTCCTTGTCCTCCTTTTCTTCTTCTACCTGGACTAGTTCCTCCTTGAGCTTCTTGATCTCTTCGAGGTGTTTGGCATCTGCTCGTTTGACACCTTCCATGATGCCCGATCTCCAAGCACCATGGTTCTCTTGTTTCTCTTTCAGCTGCTTCTCGATCTTTTCCTTCTTCGTCAGCTCCTTCTTTAACTTGTTCAATTCCTTCTGCTGTTCGCGAAGTGCTTCCCTGGGGTCGCTCTCCACCAGCTTTCGAATCTCGTCTGCTGACTCGACCTCGGAAAGATCTGCCTTCTGTGCTAAAGCCTTGATGGCTTCTCGCAGCTTCTTGTTCTCCTCTTGCAAGCCAGAGGATTGCGAGGACGGCCCCGAAGATGTAGTACCTCCCACGGAGGTATCGATCTTTGAGCCGTCGTGGTACCGGAGAACCATGTTGTCGCCCTTCTCTTTTTTGGGCTTCTCTTGAGAAGGTCTCTTGTTCTCCTTGATCCAGGCATTCTTCCAAGCTTCCGCTCGGGCATTGCCATTCCATCTGCCGTTCTTCCATGACATACCGCACCTCAAAGCGTATCGTGGCCTGCTATGATGGCTTTCAAGGATTGACTTGCACCTCAGAACGTGCAGCAATCGTTGTCCTGAGCAGCGTAGCTTATGTTGGTGCTTTTGTATGTATGCACGTGCTCTTGACCTCCGCCTTCGCTCTCTCCGGTGCCAGTTGGGGCTGCCCAAAGCCACTATGGCGACGTGAAGCACAGAAAACGGGAAAAGTTCGTCTTTCTTTGAACGAGTGGGGCAAAAGTGGTTCCGAAGTGCGTCACTTCAGCGATCTTGAGCCCTTCCTAAATACCCAAAGAAGAAAAAAAAAAAAAGAACACACCGAGCTCTCTCTCTCTCTCTATCGCTCAGTACGTCATACGTAATACCATACCACAGACCACAGACCCCTACCTACCGCCAACCCCCCACCTCGACCGGACCCTCCGCTGTTGCCGCCGCCAAACAGCCGACGTTCACGTGATCGTGACCGGAGGATCCTTGTTGACGATTTGCTTCAGCACCTTCACCAGGGCGTCCACGTGCCACAAATGCACGTCGCTGCGTGCCGCCGCGGACATGAAGGTCTCAGGGCCTCGGGTGGTCCACCCGGGGGGAAGGACCGGTGTTTCGGGTGATGAAACTGCTTGAAGTGCTTGGGGACAGCTTGGGGTGGGGGGGTTCAGTGTTGGATAAAAAGAAGAACAAAAAAACATGACGTTCGAACCTCTTAAAAAGCACACACACTCACACACTCACACTCTTGTGTGATGAAGGAAGGATGAAAAAGCCTAACGTTGATGGGCTGCAATGCCACGGTATGTTCACAGGACGGGCCCGATCCAAGCAAGAAACCAAGTCATACGGGGCCCCCCCAAGTCATGTTCGCTCCCAACGTCATCTCCTTCCCCGGTGGCTCTTTTTCTTCCACCGAACCGTCCCTCCGAGGCCCTCCCACCATGTCCGCTTTCTGGGCATCGCTGCTTTCTGCCAGGACCGAACGCATGTAGTCGCTCAGTAGCATCTCGCCTCCCAACGACCGACGACCGACGACACGGACGACGACACGGACGACGACACGGAGGACGCGGGTGGTTTCAACCGGTGGGGCGGCGGACGAACGGTCCCAAATGGACCGAAAATGGAGGAGAGATCGTTTCCGACCTTCGATGAGTTCGATGAGGGTGCTGACCATGTGTGGTGCCAGTCTTTGATTGTGTCTTCCTTTATCATGTTCTGCCCTTCTACTTGCGGTGTCCATTTCTACTTGTTGTACATCACACGCGTCACTTTTCCCGGGCCTGACTTCTCAGTACCTAAGCTGCTACCAGACTTCAAGATGAAGGAGATGGACATTTGCACCTGGCCAAGTTGCTCAGTGACGGGGCACAGTCACCTCCACCCTAGACTTGTCTATGGAAGATCCATCAATTTAATGTGGAATGAACATCATCCAATATTCAACTGATGAAATCTGAACATCCACTCAAGACCCATCAGTGGGCATTTTCTTTGTGAACATTCATGAACTCCATCTCAGGGTCATGAACTCCATCTTCTCATGGTCTCAGCTTCCTCCAAGACAAGCTTTTGGCCTGCTCGCCAGCGCAAAAAGACTCCAACGCGCGGGTGACGGCCTTCTGCAAGCAGGCATTTGCCAGAGCAGGAGATGGAATCTCCACCTTCAATCGGTCGATTGTATCGGGCAGCAGCTCCCGCTGGTTGATGACCTGCACCGAGGGCAGCGATGCAAAGCAATGCAAAGCATGTCTTTGGTAGGAGCTCCCGCTGTTGCGTATACATGTAGAGTTCGCTCAAACTGTGTCAAGCCGTTCATGTGTCATATGATATCATCCTAATTGTTCAGCCACAAAAAAGGGCAAAGAATGAAAAGGATCATAAAGGATCTTAAAGATCTTAAAGGCAACCTCCAAGCAAAGCTGACAACCTCCAACTCCATCCACCCTCCCACCCTCCGCGTTGGACGCCCGCTCTCCGCTCCCCACCGTGCGCAGCTCGTTGCCGGCCGCAAAGGAGTCGCCCAGCCATTGGAAGCCACGCATCTCGATGGTGACTTCAGGCCTGCCGCGCCAGGCCGCGCCAGGCCGCGCCCGGAAACCCTCCACGGAAGCCACGGTCGAGGAAGCGGTTCAAGGAAGCGGCTTTTCACTAGGCGAGTGTGGTCTCGGCGGAGGGGGAGGAGGGGAGGAAGGGAGGGATCGTTTTGGAGGGTTTTCAGGACGTCGGAAGTCTCTGAATCATGAAGACCGCGTGGAATCCAGTGGAACAGAAGAACAAGTCCGACGAAAGAATCATGGGCTGGCGGGTCAGTAGCAAAAACCGCTCCACCAGGCAGGTTTGGATGCTTGTGACTCACACTATGACTCACCCAAAGGTGCGGCTGGTGTTGCGCCTGTTCAGCTCTCTTCGAAGGTGCTGCTCAACCTGCTTCAGGTCCAAGTTCAGCTTCCCGCCCACACCTGCGGAATTCGCCGGTCTGAAAGCAAAGTAATATGAGCGAAGTCTGAATTGAATAGGGTTCAAGATTGAACACAAATCCAAAAACAAGATGACATCCATGACATCTGGTAGAATAGCAAAGCGCCAACCCAAAGCACCATTTTTTTGGTCGATATCCTGAGTGACTCGGAAATGATCAAGTTTGTTTAAAATCCCTTTCAGGAAAAGAGACTCAATTAATGAACATCTCCAAAGGAGACTCTAGCGCTCCCAAAATGTTTGCTGAATCTGAGTGAGTGCTGATCTTGGGGAAAAAGTGAAACATCGTCGAACAAACAACAAACGGTGCGGTCACGGAGCCCCATGTGGCGCAGCGGTTGCTGAGGAATTTCATCAGCTCCTTCTTGTTGTATTTGATGACCTCGCGTCATTCGCATTCATTCGCTCTCGCCGACGTGTCATTCGCGCACCCAACCGGTCCCAGCAATCTCCCCACGGTCCCCACGGTCACCGTCGTACCGACGTACTCTGTCTCCGGTGTTTGATCCGTCTCCGGCGACCTTCGAGGCAGTTCCTGTGTGTTTTTGGCCAGAGAATCCGGGAGTTGTGACACTCTTCTTCGGTGCGCGGACCCAAAACCATCCCAAAAACCATCAACCCAAACACCCACCATCCAACCACCAACCTCTGCGGGAACCACCAAGCTGTTGCGGTACCTGCCAATCCATTCTTGATCCTGGTACAGATCCTTCTCGACAAGAGCGGCTTGAACCCGTGAAGCTGTCGAAGCTGTCAACCCGCGCAGTTTCGAGAAGGTTCGCGGCTCCCGCTCGGTCGGTCGGACCCTGCGCGCCAAGACACATCGTGCTGCGCCAGCAGTCGGGACGACACCTTCCGTGCGGGGTAGCCTAAGGTTCCTCGACGCCACGGACGCAACGAAGCGGCACATGTGGAGCCGTTGAGCCGTTTCGGACTCGATCGATGGCGGCATCGAGTGTCTCGCTGTGGAAAAGGCTTAGCCTCACAATGGACAAGGTCGGTATTCAGAGTCACCTCTGCTAAGGGTCGAAGGATTCTTAGAGGACGACATCAGCTGTTGAAATATGAAATTGACACCCATCGCTATTAGGTGGAAGGCCATGGCTCTTAGGTTGGAGGCCATCGCTGGTTTTCTAGACATCTTGTCCATCTCATGGCTTCAAAAACACTCGGGCAGTCCTGCCACGATCTGCACCAGTTCGTTGTGTTGCGCCACCAGCCAATCCATCACAGCTAATGCATACATGCCATCATCCTCCCAAGCACGAGCTTCTCGAAGTGGTCGAGCATTCAAATACGTTGCCCCACATGGTACACGTATGTACACGTGTCATTTTTCAAAAAGTCGTTTCCGCAGACTTCCGCAAAAATCTTCCAGCTCCTCGCTTCATCTGAGAAAAAACATCTATAGATCTATACTAGTATATCTAGTATTAAGAGGTAGAGTCCGCATACGTAGACTCGTCCCGCATGTCTATATGACTCTACTCGCCAAATGAGCCGTCTTCTCGCACCTTGAAGTCTGGAATGCACATCAGCATCATATCGTCTTCTGAGAGTTGGTACTTCCGCATGTTCTCGGAGATCTGTAAGCACCTGAGGGTCCGTGACCGGCAGATCCGGCGGTTCGGACGCTGGGGCGACCAGTGGGGTCCGATCTGCGTCGAGTCTCTCCCTTCTGCACTGCAACATGGCGCCAAGAACCGATGAACATCTATGGAATCTAGGCGAAAAAAACTCAGAGTTGTTCTCCGCCATGCGATCCTTTTTGGGGCGTGTTTCGTGCCCTTGTTCTCTTAAAAGGCTGCCCCCCAGTCAAATCCTTCTGAGCCACTCATACTCACAGTAGGGCATGGCCAGGCGCCAGGCCCTCTCGAAGTTTTTGAAGGCCTCACGGCTTCGCATCGCGTTGCGCATCGCATGCGCATCGTGCCACAAGATCACGGCTTAGTTGCATTCCAAGAAAGCATGGGAAACATGGCCGGGCAAATTGTTTGATCATCTCTTCACTTGTTCACTTAACAATCTTGTCTTTCTGTGGAAGATGGAAAGAACGCCTAGCACTCCGACATACTTTTCAATGAGATCGGTACCCACTTCACACATAGCAAGGTTGTAGCAGCTCCATCTCTGGCTGGCAAGAGACGACGCAGAATTGGTTGCCGCATCGCAACCAACAAGAGTTTTTGAGATGTTCGAAGTTCCAATCAGCCTGATCCACCCCAAAAGGGTGCGTGGGCCTCTGTGTCTGTGGAGACCCCAGGAGCTATATGGATCTATTAATCTACAGGATCTCTATCTAAACCACAAAGGTCTATACCAGGACCCTCCTGTCGGGGTGTCCAATGGACTACCCCACACTACCTATAGGCTTCCAGACAGGGCACCCCTTGGAGGGTCCAGGTATATCCGCCCCCAAAAACAAATCCCCCCATCTGATGCATCTATCCTCAGCTGCCCCCATTGGGGAGCCGATCCGCTTCCCGTGTTTGCAGTACCGCACCTGACGCCACTGCCGCTTCTCCGTCTCATTCCGCGGCACCTTCTCGGTGCCAAGGCCACATCGGTCAAACTAGGTGTCTCAGCCCGGTCACTCACCCATTGCCTCTGTTTAGAGTTGTAGGAGGTCTGAGGAGGTCTTTGGAACCGGAGCTTTGGGAGGTCTTATGAGGTCTTTGGAGGCACCCCCTAGTGCTACGCTTGTGCCACGGGCATGTTCATGACCTCTTCCCAGGCGAATCTTCCGGATGAACGACCTCGTGATCGCCGCGGGTCGTTCAGTCCCCGAGCACTGCACCTGCTCGAGCACTTCGCCCACCGTCATTTCCCCGGCCGCGGCCTACGCACGTCGAGAAGGCACAGTCGAGGCGGTGATGGCCCATGAATTCAAAGATCCAATGACATCATCCAGCATCCATCCCCAAAAAGCACACCCAACCTCTTCGCCATCCTATTTCATCCCATGTCTTAAAGGAAAATTACACCACCGTAGACCCCAAACGGCTTGTGTTTTCAAAATCGGAACACTCTGCAACTAGAGCTTGCGACGTCCAGAGCCACAGCAGCCCAGCGCTGGGAGACAAATGTAAACGATTGCAAGCGACGCGCAGCCCAGAGCTGGGAGACAAATGTAAAGGATTGCAGGGCAGAGCAGCTGGGAGACAAATGTGAAGGGTTGCAAGCGAGTACATGGCCACAGGAAAAGGGCGGACACCAGCAGTGACGCAAAGGGCGGACACATCTTAAGAAAGAATTGAGAACCCCTAACAGTAAACTGTTTGGGGAAAAATAAGGGCGAAACATACCTGGACCTTCAAGGGGTGTCCTGTCTGGAGGTCCCTTAGTGTAGGGGCTTCCATTGGAGACCCCCTTTGAAGGGGGCAACATAAGTTGAACGAAACCGAAGACCTATCCGATCCACCTTAGGAGTCCGTCCATGCCTTGGTGATGCGGCCGCTGAACTGGTTGATGCACAGCGCTTGCCACTCGAAGACGCCCACCAGAGTGCCCAAGGCGGGCCTCGCAGCGGCGAACAGGAACCAGCGAACGGAGCCGAACGGAGCCGAACAGAGCCGGACCTGGGTCGAACGGAGCCGGGGGTCCCAGACACCTGCAGTCTGCACGGTCGTCGATGGCGCCGTCCAGACGTGTGACTGGAAATCATATGACCCGTCGATGAAGTCCAGTTCGACGATGTGATGTGGACCAAGTGATGTGAAGGACGTTGGTCTGGACGCTCGGGTCACCGAGTCAGCGAAAGACCATTCTGTTCATAGTCTTTGACTCCCAGGCCGGCCCAAGAATTGGTGCACCAAAGAGGCGGACCTAGGGCATATATGACATCATAATAGGAATACATCCTTTTTGATGTGGTTGCACCAGGCATCTGTTCACCGTTGTCTGATAGAAAAGGGATTCTTTGGGACACTCCAGTAGAGATGATACAGTCCAGTACCACGGATTCCGGGTGTCCATGAACCACTCAACCACTCCTTAGAAACCTCCTGGGTATTATTCAGCTCTTTTCTCCAGCCCTTCGACAAGACCGGACCATTTCTCCCAAAAAACTCACCTTTTTCCGTTGAACACCTCTCCGCGGTGTCTTGACAAGCTCGACTCTGGGGGACTTGTGGCCCAAGCAGCAGAATGTTGATGAGCGGATTCTGGAGGATGGTACACAGCACCGGGAAGTTCTCCTTGGCGTTGTGCGCGATGCCAATCCTCGGCTCCCGCAGGACGGGGCACCGCGAGGACCGCGATTCGCTTTGGGCCGTGAGCGAGTAGCGCGGATGGCTAAGCTGGCTGCCGCTGCAGTGAGACGCTGCAAGAGATGCCCGTCTCTGAAAACACGGTCTGGTGAGGCCATGAGGGTGTCCTATGGCTGTCATTCCCAGACACGACCTGTCTGGGACTGCGGACCCAATCAGTTGGGGTGGGCCTATGAGGGGTCTGGCTGGGGCGGCAGTCCAAACTGGCAGTCCCAGACAGGTCGTGTTTTGGGATTGTTTCTGTGGTTCTTGGCCCAAAAAAAGCGAGATAGACGTTCATCATGCTCGTTCCTCCCGGCCTCGGCGATAGACGATTTCTTCTTCAGCCATGGCTCTTGTTGTGCAATGCGTCTAGGGTCACTGGAGAACGATAGGCCCAAAGCTGTGGCATCTCTTGTTCTCTCTTCTGTGGTGGGAAGTCCTTCACCTGGCGCGCGGACTTCAAACGTCGACCGCCGAAGGGTCACCGAAGACCTGGTGTCTTTACCACCCGATGTTCAAAGAGAAAGAAATGGGTGTTTAGCTCAAATAAGGGAGCTAGTCGACTCGAAAGAAGCAATAGAATGCAATAGACCAGTCAACCCAGCCAGGGCCACGGCGGCCACGGGGTTCTACCTATGTCTTCCGACTGATGTTCACACCACCGGTCCACCCTCCGTGTTTCATCGGCGCAGGGGCGCACGTCGGCGGCTTCTTTGAGCTCGGCCACGAACTTCCCGTCCTCTTGATCGCCACCCCACTTCTTGTAGAGGTCCTGAAGGGCGGGCAGGTTGGAAGCTATGTGAATAGATCCTAGTCTTAGACTAGCTAACTAGGTTGGAGGCCATTGCTACTAGGGGGGGTTCAGGCCATCGCTACTAGCAACTAGAAGCTATAGAAACATCATATTATATCTTGATGATGTGTGGTATGTGTAAGATGCTTATGGTGCAATGTCACTGATGTGTAAGATGAGTCTCACATCCCTTCCCCTGCTCACCGTCAGGCCTGGAGGGATTCGTCGAGGTTCTTGATCAAGCCTTTCAGGTATTTGGATTCGATGGTCTCTTCCCAGGAATTTCCTCGCACGAGGAGACCCGGACGCTTTCGCTCTCTCTCTCTCTCTCTCTCAGACGCTTTTGGGAGACATGAACATCCGTACCCGGAAGGGGGGAGGCCAAGGGTGAACCGGGACGCCGAGGTCTCGCGAACCCAGACATGTTGAAGGCGACCGCGCTCTTCGTATTGGGTTGGCATGCTGTGAAAGAAGACGACAGAATGGGGTTTTGTGGCCGTGGCCGTTGCTGGGGTGGTCCTCTTTGACCGCTGCCGCTCGCTCTTCTCGGGTCCGAGGCGCGTTGCAGCAGGGTCAAAACGCCCCAGCTGGCTTTCGATCCCATTTCCGTCGGTTTCAAGGGTTCATCTTTTCCATCTTCGCCTCGTGAGCGCGTGAGCGCTGCGTGCCACGCGGCCGGTGTGGGGGTGTCCGTGGGCCCCCGGTAGGGCCGGCCCCGGTCCGGTGTGGGGGGTTTGACGGACAGGGGTCGTCCTGATTTTGGGGTCCGGGAGAAGGGGGGTCTCTTTTTTCGGTTTGGAGGGGAAGTGACAGAAGATAGCTGAAGAACATGAAGAGATATTGCACCAGGAGTCACAAAGGGGGTGGTTTTGGGGGGTCTCTAAGTGAGTGGGTAATGGACAACCCTAGCAATAGGCATCCTTTTCGAACTGCTGGTATGAAGAGGCAAATAGGTGTTGCGCAAATCTTCCACAGTGCTTTGGGTCAGCCGAAAATGCTGAAAAAACATGAAAAAACGGAGACGAACTTGCAAGAACGGTGTGCTTTCTGCCCAGTTGACCCCAAAACTGTCCAAATTCCACCAGGATTGTGTCTCTCAGTTCTGTAGGTCTATAGTTCCTTGATGTTCTGGCTTTTCAGCTTCTGGTCTCTTCGTGCTGGGCGCCCTATCAGCTATCCCCTTCGCCCTTCTTCCGTGAACGCGCCCAAGCTGCTCATTTTCAGGAACAGGTTGTGGAGTCCAACCGCCAGATCCTGGCGCACCCGGCCGCGAGCCTGTTTCTGCGGAGGCAAGCCAAGCCAAGCCAAGCGCGCGCGAGCACGCACGCCGACGCCCGCGCACCCCCAGCGGCCCCCCGAGTTGGGGTTGACCGTGTGTGGCAAATTCTATAAGTGAAAGAAGCACACGTGCTAGTCTGCTAATGGGTTGTTTTACAGTGTCTTCGTGTTTTCTGGTCAAGTGTCCTTTCAACTCTTGCTGGTCATTTACGGCTTTGGGGACCTCCAAAAGGTGTCATCGTTGGCTGGGAACTTGGCTGGTCTTTGGCGGAACTTGCTGGGGTGCACGGGTGAGATCAACGGGTTCCCCCCCGATCGTGTAAGATATCCCATATATAGGAACATCCTGTCTGTCTGTCCTGGCTGGACTACCCTACGCCCTGGGCCCGATCTCTATGGATCTCTAGGAATCTCCAGCCAGGACACACAGACAGGCTGGTCCAGCTACGGAATTATGTGCTTTTTCAATTACCATATTTGTACATTGCAGAAAAACATAGAAACAACATAGAAGGTTGTTTCCTTTTTGAAATATACAACCATAGATAGCAATGGGATTCCATAGTAGGTTGGAGGAAATGCTTCTAGGGTGGAGGCCATTCCCAGTCTGCCGCACAGCCTCAACCTGGCTTGAGGCCGTTTCCGTGCGGTTTCCACTCACCCTCCTCCGTGTTGCTGCTGAGGATTTCCACCATGGACTTCCAGTCGTTGTGGAAGTGGTTGCCGATATATTCCGACTCGGGCAAATCCTTCAGAGTGCCTGAGGAACGTCTACACCTGCTCCCCCCCCCCCACTCGGGGTCGAATGGTCTGCCCGCAACGAACTGCGCAGTTCGAACTGGTGATGTTCGCCGATCCGTCCGCAGTGGTTTTTGGGTGAACAGAAGAAGTCTTGCATTCCCAGCTGTGAACAGAAGGGCTGCACGTACGCTGCGATTTCGCAGCATCAAGGAGTACTACGACGGGGAGGTGGTGATCAGGACCCCGTTCCTAGAAATTCAACCTGCATGCTGGACCAATGTTGCTGCTGAATCCTTCTGGCGGCCTTCGTAGGGAGGACATGCGAACATCGTGTACAGTAAGTTCTACCCAAGGAAAACAAGATGATCTTTAAGGACACGAAGTAGTCACCCAGTAGTTATGTTTCACCCAAGAAGGACCACCTTCGGCTCCTTCGGCTCCTTCCGTCTTATGCACTCCCTCCAAGGTACACATGGACTCGTTCTGCAGAGAGGTGTAAGGTCGCGGCATCTTCGGCTTCCTCAAACGGTGGTTTCAGCTGCCGAAAGACACGCGCGAAAGACATGCGCCTGCTGGTGCTATATAAGAGTTAAACAAATTCTGTTGGGCCCCGGTCTGAGACAGTAAATATATGCCAAATGTGAATTGTCAAATTGACAGGAAAGAACTATACACATCGAAAGACCACTTCAAACCCATTGCATAATTACGCTTGTCCATGGTTGTCTTTAGGCTCCTCCGCTTCCCATGTTCTTGCCGCTTTCGGGTGTGGCGGCCATGGTGCTCTCTGCGGTGGCCAAACCCTTCATGGGGCCTGGAAATCTGATGGGTCCGAGCCACGCAGCAGCAATGATGCCCAAGTACATGGTGCCATGGAGCATCAAGCGGATGGCGCGCGCCGAGCTGCTCTGCACCTGACCAAGGATGGTCCAAAGCGAAACAATTGGCATGTGGCACATTGGCATGCAAACGGTTGGATTTCATGCTCCAATCGAAGAGCTCCTTCAGAGAGGTCCTTGGGGGGGGCAACTGGCAACTGGAGGAGGGAATAGATGGGAAGAGGTTCATCCATTCTTTAGGCCGAAACGTGGCCTTCGCCGCTTCGCCGTGGCCCGCCCGGCCTCTCGGAAGGAGACGTGCTTCTCGTCCTTCTCAGCGATGGGTAGCACATAGCCCCAAGGGGAACGATCCTCGGCAGACGTCGTGACGTGTCGCTGAAAAGAGGGTGTTTTGAGAAGCGCCCGTTGGCTGCGCGGAACCGGAACGAAGAGTCAAACAGGAGACCTCATGAGAGATTAGACGACGACAACAACAGCAGCAGTCAACAACAAGTCAACAACAAGTCAACCCTGGAGTTCATGTCCTCTACTTCACCAGCCTCAAATTCCAACTGGACTTCGGACCTCTGAGAGAGGCGAAGCCGCCGGTGAAGTCTCCCGGACTGTCTCGACCGGACCGGTGAAGTCAGACGATGCTTCGGCACCAGGAAGGTCCTTTTCACTCGGCATCACCCGAGTGAGTCAGACCGGAAAAAAAAAACACTCTGACATTGGCTTGCTGTTAACTCAATTCCCATTGGCTTTGGTACAGGGGGTGACACCCACACACACACATGAGAGCTGCTCTGGCTCAGCGGGCACAGCAACCGAGCAACAAACCGGACCCCCAAGCTGTCGTGTTGGGTCTGAGGGCGTCAGTGGCGTCGTCTCGTCTCCGCTTCGTCTCAAGCGGGTCTGAACCGGGGGGGTTTCACGCCTCAAAGGTCCCGGCGCCACCGGGATGGGAGAAAGACCTGGAAAGGGGTGCAGGTGCCTCTCTTTCGCGGCCGAGGGTCGCTCTCGTCATCCTGAAAGGTGTGCTCCGTCTGGTTGTGGTCCCTTCCGCCGATCTTGAGGCTGCATCCAGGGCATTTGGCCACTTCCTCAGCCAGGTGGCGGTCATGCACGTTTAAAACAAAAGCATGCGAAAGTACATGGAGCGGAGTTGCATCTGGAGGAGAGCCCTTTCTTCAGACTGGAGGGTGAAAGATGGTGAAATGCAAACTACTCTCAAAGCCATTGGATCTGATCTGAGATGTCTATCATTGAACGCCCTGAGGACCCAAGTGGTACTCTCATTCCGTCGGGCCTTCAGATGAGCAGAAGATGAGCAGAATGTTGAATGGGAAACAAGGTGCCAACGTGCCAATGTGCTGTCTCCGAAAATCCTTTCATCGTCGGTCCCATCTGGGGCGCCCTGCCATGGGACGGCCGCACTCACCTAGGAGTGGGAGGAGAGGGGATGAGGTTGCTCATGTCTCCTGATTCTCCCAAAAGAGGTTCCCCCTTGCTGCCCACGGCTCTTTCTTGACCCATTGGACAGGCCTTTTGCCATTCTCCACTCGCACGAAACATACAAGGGAAACACAATAAGCAGCTAAACCAAATATTATACTATATATACCCCTATACCAGGACCCTCCAAGGGGTGTCCAATGGACTACCCCACACTACCTATAGGCTTCCATTAGGCACCCCTTGGAGGGTCCAGGTAGAAGTCCAGTTCGACTACATGTTTGATGGACTGAAGTAAGGGAAATGCCTTTTCGGGTCACCAAAAGACCAGTTTTTGACTCGCAGGGATACTGTACGTATCTGAACAACTGAACAACCGTTTCCAGCCGTGAAGCAAGACCCTCATGGCATGGAAACCTCTTGTACGCTGATGGCCGCTGCATTTGGTTTGTGTGGCAAGTCTGCCACATCTGCTTCGAACAAATCAGAATCATTACGCATGATAGAATAGCAGCAACACCAGGGTTATTACCGGCAAAAACCACGGTATAACCTGGTATTAGCAGGTGATCATGATACTCTACTTACGTGATTACCAGCTCATGACCATTCCCAAAACACTGCGTTTCACGTCTCACGTTGGTTTCGACCCCCCCCGTTCGGATCGCCGATGCCAACGTGCCCGGACCGATGAAGAAGGTGAAGCCACAGGAGCATTTCCTGAAGGATGAGGACTCGCCGTCTCCGCAAGGAATTCGGAGCATCCACGAAACCGAAAACGAAAACATAGGTAAACCTGACTGTCTGGCCTTTCCTCTACCAACCTTTCCGTGGTGTGGTGAAAAAGAGGATCCGGGATCGTCGACACTGCCGGGTGTAACGGTGCGGAGGTGCGGTGCGGAGCGCGGCGGACCAGACTGCGCCCTTTTCCGCGCCATTCAGTGAATGGCACCCAGTTACTACCCTGCAGATACATCTGTCGTCCGTCTTCGGTGCTTCTTGCGACACATCACCCATCATCCTCCCATTCTTCTTTCATATTCTGTCCATCATCCCATCCCATTCATCCCATCAACCTCACCCCCCCCAATGGCTACAGCTCACAGCTGGGTGTCCACCAATGGCTCTTGAACTTCCAAATGTTCTCACCTCTCTCCACCAGCGCCTGGCACGAGCCGCCGGAGATACATGCACCGCGCGAGGCGTCTGCCGCGCGACGTCGACCTTCTCAGTCCAGAACATGCAGAGCCAAAGCTGCAGAGCCCAGTTGCAGAGCTGCAGCGCTGCATCGAATTGAACGAAACTGTTCATCGCCTTCTACCTCGACCTGGGGTCAATCGCCATCCACTCGACCCCCCCCACTCGCCTTCAGCACTCTGCTCCTGAACGGGAGCTGAACGTGGCGTCCGCCGGCGCAAGTGGCGCGCGGAAAACGGCGTCGGCCACGGTTCGGCGTCGGAGCGGGAGTTCAAACGATCCAAAAGCACAGCGATGAAAGGATGTTCGATGTCCATTCCACCGGGGGCGAAGAAAGGTGTCCGCCCAGCGAGGCGTCCTTTTTTTGCGTGAGCGGAAGTGGTCCGACTGCTGGGTCAACTCGACTCATGACCCCGTGGTGGGGAGGGCTCTCCAGACTCCAGAATCCCAAATTGGAAGATGGCCACAGGGCTCCCAGTCTCCGGTCCTCTCCGGGTCCCACTCGGGGCGCGTTGTCTTCGGAAGGACAGGACCCGAAAACGTGCTCCGCTGCTCCGGCAGCCTCCAAGCCCCGTTTGGTGCTCGCCGGGCGCGGGCTGAGCTGGCCCCCAACCGACTCACCACGGCCCCCAATTGGGCGAAAAGGAAGGCGCCGGTTGGAGGCGAAGCCGCGCCTGATATCTTCATCCATCGCCGGCAAGAAGGGCGGGTGATCCTTGGTCAGCTTCTCAGGCTCCTGGCGCCGCCGTGGCACGACGGGATGGAGAGAGACGAAGGAGTGCTGGTCAACGGGATCCGATCGGTGGGAGCCACCACCGATCGGAGTCGGGGCGGTTGTCCGAAGACGACTGGAAAACATGGAAGCATGATGAACACCACTGAGCAGGCAGTTCGATGCAAGAACTGTGATTAGATTGAGATGGAATGAGATGGAGATACTCCAAAAAAGCACCCCTTCATCCACCGAAGGAACACTTGGAGCCTCCGAAACGACCGAAACTCCTCGGAGGATGTCTGAGGTGGGTTCCATTTCTCTGCAACTTCGTTCGGGTGCGTCTCGTTCACTAGGAGACACACAGTTGTCACTCCCGAGCATAGAGTGAACAGCAATCCGCACGTGAACACCAACCAATCATGGAGTTTGTGACACGAAACGAAACTGACTCGGTTCACAGATCTTTCGCCCCCATGACACAAGACAAGCCATTCAAAAACCTGGAAGGGGTGACAGAAAGATCCTGAAAGCTCGAAAACAAAAAGACCCTTCTCCAAACAGCCAGAGGAGTCTTCCATCTTGTTGCCCCGACTACGTCTTCCGGTCCAGCATCATGATCCGGAGGCTGTGAAGCAATGAGGTCTCAGGCGCTGCAATCAGCACCGCAGCTAAATGCGCCAGCACGCGCCACCTGCGACCGGTCGTCCGCCACCCGCGCCACCCGCGCCACCCCTTCGGCGCTTCGGTCCGTCGAGGAGGGTCCCGCGTCACGACGCGTCGGAACCGGGACGTCGTTCCGGAGGCCGAGGCCGGCGTCGGCCGGCGTGGGCCTTTCCAGAAAGGTCGCGAAAAGTGAAGAGACGAGGCAAGCCAGGAGTCACAGAGCTCGGGGGTGCCGAACGAAGGAAGGAGTGAAGGAGTTGGGGGCCCTTGTCACATCCACAGCCCCTGGATGGGACTAAAAACAACTAAACACCACCCCTGGTCCTAGGTCCAATCTTATAGAGGACATTGCTAGGCCGAGATCTAGCAACTGCTACAATTGTTGCTTCGGTCCAAAAGCCCTTCGCCGGAGGAAAACCTCACGACCGCACTCCGTCTGACCGCACTCCTCAATACTTTCATGCCCGGATTCGGGTTCGCCGGATGGGCCTCAACAAGTCGTCCATCTTGCGGCCGCCGTAGGTCACGAAGGTCTTCAAGAACGTCCTCAGCTCAGCTGAACGTGGGTCCGCCATACGTCGCTCACAACCGCCGTAATGGGTCGCATCTGCCTTTCGTCACCGACGCGGACGTGTTTTCGTGCCCAAATTGATGGGCTTTCAGGTGATGAAGGGAAGCAGTGCTTCTACACTCTCAGGTTCGGGCTTCGCCGACCAAACAACCAGTCACCAACAGTCACCCCATTGCTCTCTGGGCTTCTGCTCTGTCTCTGGTAGCTCATTGATGGGCTCATCGTCGCCCGAGAAGATGCGTAGCAACATGCGCTCCTGCGACCGAGGCCAGCTCACTCAAGCTTCTACCTTCCGGCGACAGGCCTTGACAGGCCGTGTCTGGTGAGCTCTGGAGGACCAGTCGACTCCCTGCATCAAAAATTCATTGAGCACTGGTCCATACTCTAAGCCTTTCGGACCCTCCCCTGCACATCGGCAGAGCACACCAGAAAAAAACAAGAGAGACGCGGTCGGTGGTCACACACCGGTCCGCGCCCCCGCGCGGTCGGTCACGCGGTCCGAACTCGGCGGGTCGACCGTGTGCTGGGACGACTGCTGAGGTCCTTGTCGGAGACCTTGAGGTCTTGGCTGCTCTTCAGCCACTCCGAGAGCTTAGGCCGCCAGGGAGGCCTATGATGCGGCTCCTTGAGGTCGGCGAAGGCTGGAGTCGGGAGAAGGCGGGGCTGGGTGGTGTCTTTCTTCGAGACCCAAGGGAACGTGTTGCTCAGATTCTGCGGGCGTCTTTGGGAGTTCCTAGCGATGGCCTCCAAACTAGTAGCTTCTTGTTACTAGTAGTGAGGGCCTCCAACCAAATAGTCATGGCCTCCACCTAGTAGCGTCCTTGTTAATATATTAATTTGAAAGTTGAAGATTGAAATGATTGAACCTTTGGCCCAACAGAGAGGAGGCTGCCCTTCGGAACAGGGCTCTCAGCCGCGCTTCACCGTTTTCAACAACTCGAAAGACCATGCTTTCAGAGCAACTGCTGTAAGCCACTGCTGGAAGCAATTCTTTCCACAAAACGTCAGTCCTCCAGCGCGGCCAGCAAACCTGGCTCTTGGCAAACAGCCAGCAGGAGGCCTCGTCTGATGCAGAAACGAAGGAGCGAACCATCCGAAAAAGCATTGTTGTGGGGTCGGAAAAAGAAGTGAACCTTGGATGATCCATGTCGTATGCAAATGTACAGTTTCTTTTTCTGGGTTCATGACTTGAATGTCGATTGATCATTGTATACAAAATATATGTCGTTGTTGTTGTTCTTTCGCATTTTTCTTCAAGTTCTTCCTCACCTTTGACCAGCCCTGCACTGTGGAAACCTGATGAAACCTGTCTACCCCTCCATGCTCCTCGCTCGCTCCCCGCGCCCAAAAAGGGTCCGTCCTCCGATGCCGCGGCGGCGTTTCTCCTCGGGCAGGTGCGCGAGGTCCTGCCTTGATCCGAGGCGAGCAGGGGGCGAGCAGCGCTGCTCGCCACCCCGGCGGCCGAACGTGGCTTCGGGCTCCATTGCGGAGAAGAAGCGCTGGGCTTCACGAAACCAAGAGCGAAAAAAAACGAAGAAACCTATACCAGGACCCTCCAAGGGGTGTCCAATGGACTACCCCACACTACCTATAGGCTTCCATTGGGCACCCCTAGGGTCCAGGTATAAGTTAACGTGTACAAAGACTTTCCGGCGTGTTTTTTTCTGTCGCCGTGGCACGCGTACTTCTCAAGCTTGGCGGTGGAGGTGGTTGTCATGAGCTCCACCACAGCCTTCATGGCATCGTTGTACTCCGCCAAGTCCTGTCCCAACAGGTGTCCACAGGTGTTCTGGTCGTTTATGGGACATAATACCTGGGTCTTCATAGCTATGCCTGGGTCTTCATGCCGTTTCAATCAAAACTGCCGTTTTTCAAGCAAGTGCCAACTATTATGGACATAATATATTGTGCATATCTTAGTCAATATCCTGCAGGAAACCATGTCCAGCAAACTCGCGTTTCTGCGTCTTCATCTTTGCCAATGTTCGGGATACCATCCTAGAAAATACCAGGCCGAATCCCGGACAAGGGAAGCATCGGCCGGCCCATTTGGCTGGCGGTCTCCTGGGAGTCCCCAAGGAAGGGATTCCACTTCGGCACCAGCGCTGCGCCGATGAACTTCTCGAAGTCGATATCGTGCAAATCCCGCCACTTCCTCGAGGAAACCACGCCGGTGGGGAGGGAGAAGCTCGGGAGCTCGGGAGCCGGATTTGGATTGGAACAAATGAAGTTCACATCTGTGGACAGTCTTTAGGACTGGCTCTTTAAAAAATGGTCAAAAACCAAGGGGATGTCATTACTATACCCCTGACTATGGAACTTCCTTTACTTCGGTGGGGCAAAACAGAGTCGAACTGGACTTCCAGGCTAAATGAAGGACGTGATGTGTTTCAAGATTCCTCTTGACCTTCCACCACGAGACCTCCAAAAGGGAAGAAAACCCCCCCTCTGTCCTTGACACTCAGAGATTTTTCGACATGTGGCTTTGGCATGTCTTTTGGCTTGGCACTTCATGTCACGCGACCACGTGAGCACCTAACCGAACATCCTCGGTTACGCCTCTGACCGAGAAGGGCCCATCTTGGAACATCTGTGGTCTCGGCAGGTTCCTTTCTTTCCCCATCTGAAGTGTCTGCGTGGGCGGACAAAAACGGTCAGAACCTCGTCCCAGTCAATTCCTTGTGTAAATGGGACGAGGACCTTGTCCAGCCAGACGCTCGACTGAAACTCACTGGTCGATTTCTTCCGGTCGGGACTCTAAACAGGTCGGTCGGCTCCAAAACCCGGCCGTTCACACCGCGTCGGCCACCGCGTCCACACCAGGTCTCTGTCCCACGACTCCCTCGACTTGCCGGCCGAACACGCTACTCCCCTCGCGCTTGGGACGCGCGCGGCCAGGCGGCTGCACCCAGGCGGTGTCCGACAGCGGCGGCTCCGCCAGCAGCGAACGCACGAAGGAAAGCCCGCGCGCGCGTTCCATGCACTTCCTCGGCCGCTTCAGGGGCGGGCGCAGGGCGTTCCCCTGCGCGGAAGCCCACCAAGCACAAGAAGTCGAGGGTGCACGGTATCCAGGTAGGGGGGGTTCCCCCAAAACAGAAGGGAGAGTGGATGTGGATGAGAGCCGAGAAAAGAGCTTTGTTGGATCTTGATTGAATTTGGAAATACTTAGATATAATGCTTGGATGAGGAATCTATCGGATCTGTTTTATGGTTTCATGTGAGATTCCTTCGATTCGAAGCAAGAGACCGGGGCTCGCGACAAAAAAAGCGGAGGTCTTGACCCCGCCAAGATGAGCTACACCAATCCGGATCCCCAAGGAAGTCCCTCTTCATTCTCCACCACCACAGGCTGTCGAAGAGAAATCCAGCGAGCTGCAGCAAGTAAAGGCGCATGGATCGGCAGACGGAGCGGAACTCCAGCTTATCCGTCTGTAGCAAGCCATCCACCTAAGTCAGATCATGCACCGACACCGACGTGGAACTACATGGTGGAGACCAAGCACCGCCCCAAAAATGGTGTGGAACCCACACCATGGAACACCTCCAACATGGTGTTTCAGCATGGTGTTTCAAAATGATTTGGAGGTGTTTCAACTTGGTGTTAGGGTCATCCTCTCACACCTCCCACTGCCACGCGTTCACGTGTGTGATGGGGACGACGAGACGCATTCCGACTCCCTTCGCGCCTTGGGCTCGGCTCGCGCGTGCAGATCGGTGTCCACGGGATCTTGCACCAGAAGCTGAGCATACATCGAGAGGATGCAACCTGGTCGTTTGACTCGTTTGCCTCTTCTTCCAGTCAGAGAAGAGCCAGCGCGGGGTGCGTGGAGTGGCGTGCTTGGAGTCCCCCCGGTCCAACCCCATGTGAGTGGATGACTTCTGGTTCCATGGGCTTCTTTATGCTTTTTTGCACCCCCAAAAAGGGCTATAGAAGAGGACCTCGGCAGAGAGCAAAAAGACCTCGGTCTGTGGCTCTCTTCGGCCACAGGAAAAGCGGCATCCCCTAAAATCGATCCCGAAGAAGCTTCGTCTGGTCGAGTTCTCGCAGACAGAGAGTCTTTCACTCTCACTCTCTCTCTCGCTGCGCCGCAGGTCTGCTCTCCAAGGAACGGCACTTCCCCACGAGCTGCAGCATCTTGGCCGTGTCTTTCTTCACATCCTTTGAGCCGCCCATGCGAAACCGCCGGTCCATTCGCTTCGGTTTCGCTCGGTTTGTTAGCGCTTTCAGAGCGGAGCCGGGTCTGGGGGGGGGCGGTCTTTGGGGTTGCACGGTCAGTGACCGGCACAGGTGGTAGGTACAGGATCCATGGATCATCATGGATCCACAGGTTTTGTTCTGATCCGAGAATGAACCCAGCTCCCTCTCGAGTGGAAGACGGTGTTTTTTTGAAGCATCAATCGACCCGTCAATCAACCTTCCCGTGATGCTTCTTGCTGTTTTCCGGGTCTCAGCATGCTGGGTCTCTCTCAAGTTGCTGGGTAAACGAAAGCAGCTTAGTAAGAGTCCAGTCTGGTCTGACCAACCCGATGTCCGAAACCTTCACTCGCAACTTCGGCTGGGAGTCACCGGATGGGATGGGGATGTGCTTCACGCAGACGACCGTGTCCAGACGACCGTGTACCGTGTCACGAACGAACCTTCACGTCTGTCCACGAAGACCATCGCCTTCTCTCTCTTTCGTTTTTTCGCTTTGTGGGGGGGGAACTTCCGTTCTCTTCGGTCTTCGGTTCTTCCGTTCTCTTCGCTTCTGAGGTCGAAACGTCCCCGAAGATATCTTCCAGCTTCAGATCTGGCCACTCCTCGGGCTCCTCACGGGTGACGCGTCTCGCGCGTCTCGGCTCCACACCGCACCTCCACGGACCCAAAACCGGGTTTGAGTTGGACATCTTCTTCAGGAAGAAATCTTTTGTTCATGAGAATTGTCCTTTTTATCATACGAAGTGTCCTTTTTGATCCTTTTTTCCCTTTGTGAAAGTAAGAGTTTGGGTATTACAGTGTGTGTTGTTGTCTGAGGATATCAATGTTTCACCTGGATTCACTGAGTTGTATTGTCTGGGCCATACCAACTTTCCTCAGAGCACAACACACTGTAATACCCAAACTCTTACTTTCACAAAGGAAAAAAAGGATCAAAAAGGACAGTTCTTATGATAAAAAGGACAATTCTCATGAACAAAAGATTAAGAGCTCTTCCCTTACACAGACCGTTTCAAGAAACGTCCACGTCCACGTCACCACTCACCACTCACCACGTCACCACCTAGCTTCTTCCGCACCGGTCCTCATAGATACACTTCCCATGGTCAGCTTCTTTGTCTTCCTCCTGGAGAATGGCATAGCGCGTGGCGAAGAGCGTGTCGTTGTGCTTCCTGGTCGCTGCAGGTTCGCTGCTCTTCCACCGCGCGGCGCTGTCGCGTGCGGCGCGCGGATCGCGCGACGGCGTTGGATCGAGCATCTCATGACCAGCCACCACTTTCAGCAAATCCTCGATGTGCTTAGTCGCACTCGCCTTCCATCACCAAATCGAGATCAGAGAAAGAAAATTATATCACAGTGTGGCTCCATTCTTTGGCTGTTCAATCAATGTGAATAATGTTTAAATATATAATATATTAACAGATGTGTTTAAAAAAGAAAAAAAGAAGGCTCCAACGAGCCACCAGGAGGTAAAACTCTCCCGTCTTCTGCAGTGTCGTCGTTCAAACGCGTTTCTCAACACCGCGACGAATTTCGTGGGCGGCGAGCCGACCTTGGCTTCGCCGCTGGAGGAGACGATGAGCTTCCGCAGCAGTGCCAAGTTGAGGCCTTGCGTCGAGCGGATCGCGGCGATCCATCGGGCCCTGCCGGATCGCCGCCGGCGTTTCCGGCGCCCGAGACGGCTTCAGGGGGGCATCCTTGTTACAACGGTCTTGAGTTGGATATGGGCCATGGGATGCCATGGGTGTATAAAGAGAAGTCCCTCAAGATCTTCGGAAGACCCTGGTGGAAGATGGTCGGGCCCGCCAACCGGAGGAGAACGTGCACCACCGCGACGGTGGTGCCATCGCCACCGGCACGGTGAATCAAAGACCAAACGGTGATGGGGTTTACGACATCCCATCGGTACCGATTCCTGACTACAATGACTCTCCCGCAGATCATCCAGGTCAACCACGATGTCGCTATCAGTCCCAGTGGTTCCAGTTCGACGACCAAACCATAGACCGATGGACCGAAGGAGGGCCCCTGTGGTAACTGGGATCCACTGGGTCTTGATTCATACATAAACCCGCCCATTTGAATTGAAACATCTCTTTACGTAGGGGGGCTCATTAATCAAGAGCCTACCCTCTTTTGATGGTTTCAAGGGGTGGAAGGCACCCACTCTTCCATTCTTACCAGCAAATCAAGGCACCCAACGGCCGATGGCCGTGACTGGGACGCCTCTCGCAATTCCACGGAGGGGGGGTACTGTTGATCGACCGCCGTGGACTCCGTGGGCTGGGATAGCCGAAGTGACAGCTGGAGCGCGGCACATAGAGCCCTTCCGACAACTGCGCGATGCCTGGCGACCGGTTCGGCCACACCGGTGCCGGTCGCGGCGAGTCCGGGGTTCGAAGCGGAGAACCCAGGAGCGAACGGCTCGTTGAGCTGACTGTGTGTTCCATTGGTGGGCCCAGATGAAAAGGTGGACGTCAAACGTTTCATCTGGCCCTTTGCAACATCACAAGAACATCACCATGACAGCAACGGCGCATCGGTTGACCATGATCTCAAATGTCATAGCTATATTCATAGCATACACTTGGCGGGACAAGCAGCAAACCGAATGAACGATTCCCCAGACGTGACCCGGGACCCTCATTATGGAGGGACCCCTCGGGTTGTGAACTCACGCACAAAGCGCCTGGGTCCCATCACGGTCCTCTTCTTGCTCAAGATTCCTCCCGACGCCAGCTCACCCGCCCCGCGGATGACTACGCACATGAGGACGCCACGCGGCGCACGGCACACGGCACACGGCCTGAGTCCATGTTCTCACACCACCCCTCAAGGCTCCCGGTGGCGATGCCAGACACCGATAAGGCTCGAAGCGTTGGCAAGCCTGGGAGAAGCGACGGGTCGGCGTCGAAGGTCGGATGAAAGAGGTGGAGAAAAACCGATGTTTTTTGCAGGGCTTTCAAGTGTGAAAGAACAAGGAGTGCTGGAAGGATAAGCTAGAGCAATCTTGAACATCTTGGCTGATTGACTCCGCCAAAACGAACCACGTGGACCAAAAATGCTCGGGACCCATGCAAATGCTCGGGTTTGGGGGGAGTGTTTGGAATGGTTTTCCACAGCCAAGTTCAAGAGCAGGTAACAATTGACTTCCAGCACATTTGATCGAAGCTCTAAGCCGCACTTAGCCAAGCTAGCTGCTAGCTATAGCCTGCCTGCAGCTACCCTGCCTGCCTGCTGCAACACTGCAGACCAGTCGAAGGCTTGCGGATTCCAGGTCGTTCATCGCCTGATTCCAGATCGTCAACGGCGTTGGCACCAGTTTGCACCAGTTGAAACGTATCCTTCTTCAAGCTGCAAAAAGTCTGTATAGTATCGTATCGTATAGTAGATACACCCTTCAAAACAAAACAATCTGTTTGTCAATGGCAATGCTACCTATGTGTTCAGGAGAGTCATAGCACTGTCAAATGCTCTCAGTGGCAGTCAGTGATCCTCCCCCTCATGATTCAGCCGTCCACATCTCTCACGGTCATGACGGTCCCATCACGGTCCCCCCAAAAAATCATCCCCCACTCGGATCACATGACCCCTAAACCCATCTCCTCTGCGTTGAGGAGGCAAACGTCCAGGAACCAGCTCTCGATGAAGGAGCCTCACGGCTTTTCAAAGCCACTCTCCGTTTCAAGCCGCTCGTTCTTCGGACCGCGCAGGGCGGAGACCGGTCGACATCCGGAGTCGACGGTCCGAAGAAAGAGCAAAACGGGGTTGCTGATCTTGAATCTTTGATCGTGATTTGATGTCATTTGTAGTGCAAAAAAAAAAACAAAAACACGAAGCATCAAAGGAAAATAGAGAGGCACGATGTCCAAAAGCGGCGAAGACGATTTGCCGAGAGACTCAGCTGTTGCAAACACGTGTCCTTCTTGGATGGCAAGTGGTTCACTACGACCTCGCGGACAAATCTGCGGAAACCCGGAGTTCCAAGTCCGAGTGATTCTGATTGGGAATTGTTGTGTGGAGATGTTCACAAGCTGGGTATGTCATGGTATGCCCTATTCCCTGCTAACAGCCTGCAGTGGATGATGGGGCCGGAAGTTGCAGGCCTTCCCATCTCTTACAGGTCATGAGGAGCTCGTGACTGTATACAGGTCATGGGCCTCCACACTCACCAGACTGAGATGTTCAGCTTCCCATGACCATTTTCCCAACTCATCTGGGCCGTCAACAACAAAGCCGCAGAAATCGTTCCGGTCGTTGGAAAACGCGCGGTCTTTTCGCAGCCCGTCTGCATGGTTTCACCGACCGAGCGGGCCGAAAGCGAGGTGCGCCTGTCCAAAGTTGAGCATGGCCAACAAGGTTCCAGAGTAACGGATCTTCTCCTGATGGCCGTGGTCTTTCCGCCCGCGAGGACGGTCTTTCGATCGAAGTGGAGGTCCACATCGAAGGTTTACTTGGAAGACTGAGGTCCCCTTTAGACGGTCTGGTGCAGGTAAACAAACCTTTCAAGTATAGAGCAAAGCTAAGCTTCAACTGAAATCTGAAATCACTCAACTCGTCAATAACCTTCAATAACAAACCTTTAGGGCTCATTGACATGCCACCTATAATGATAGTTGCTCCTCCGCTTTTCTTGGTTTGCCCTCAGGTCAATCCTTGAGGGTCGGCCGGTCGACGTCTCAACCTGGCGACGGAACCTTCCCTCCTTGGGCAATTCCTTGGCGAAGTCCCTCACAACCTGCGGCGCAAACTGAAGAAAGATGAAATCGAATTCTGTACAACCTGGGCATCTTCACAATCGTTCAACATCAAATGAAATGTGTCTACCGTAGTACGGGTGCTCCAAAGTATATGAAAACCGATGGAAAACAAAACGGTGCAGAGGACATCTGAACGACATCTGCCGATGTCACTCAGGCAGAGGAGGTCAGAAAGAATCGCCAGGATAGGACGTACCGCTACAACATGCAACAACCATCTACAACCTGCAACCATCTGCCTTCGGGCCTTTCGGTGGTGGTACTCCATACTGGGTCCTTTGGCCCCGCCTCACAAGGCAGCTCCAACGGGTAAGCCACATGCTGAAGGACCAAGGCCAAAGTTTCCTCAGTGGAACATCGAAACCGCACCTCCAACCTGCTGAAGGACCGAGGCCTCCAACCTGGCCGCCTTACTACGAACAAGAACGCTACGAACGGGGCTCCTGGCCTTACTAACTACTAGGAGCAAATGGACTCGTTCTCGTGAACATGGGCTCTCTCGCGACGCCCAACATCTCGCGAAGGCCCCAAGCTATCTCGATCGAGAGTCCGGATCGACGATCGAAGTGTTTCACCGTTCTTCGGGGGAAGATGGGCATGTTGCGAAAGTGCCAAAAAGGTCTATCATAGTCCAAAAAAAGACCCTATAGGCCCTTAAAGGCAATCTCTAAAAAGACCCTGGCAGGCCAGCGGCAATTCGTGGCTCGGTATTGGACTTCAGCTTCGCAATCTTCCTCAGACAACCCACGCTCTGCTCTCGCGTCGCTCACACGACTCCGCAACGTGCACGGGTGGGCGAAAGCGGAGAGGCCAAGATGCTCAGGAGCCACACCTTGATGGCCACCCAGCAGCTTATCCTGGAAGACACTCAGTTTTGGACAGCTCTTCAAAGACATGCAGGAAAAAGTCTGTCTTAGGGGAGACTATTATTAGACCTATGCATGACTATGCGAAAACCGTCTTGGACCATGCAACAACCTCCCTTCACCCCCGACTCTTGCGAAACGGACTGACTTCCGACGTCTTCTTCACGTCCGGCTTGAAGCGCTCACCAACGGGCACCTTGGTGAGACCCGCGACCACCAGCTTGCGCATGAGCCACTCGCGATAGAGGTTTTGGCTCTTCTCCTTGGAAGACGAAGCTGGTGGAAGCTGAAGATGTTTGAGATGTTTGAATTCATGAATGATCAAACTGATGACACCGGGCAAAATCTCATTGAACACCTCTTATTTGGGACTTCTTTGCCTCTTGCGTTATGACTCCCCTCCGTGTTTTCATCAAAGAAAAATGGTGCATGGTTATTGGAGGTTTTGCTATTAATATATGTTCACCTTTTCAAGCCCCAAATTAATAATGGGCTTCTTCCCTGTCGACCCTGACCAACTGGATTGATATAGGATTGACAAAGATGAGTTTATGGCTTCTATAATCCTATCATGTCCTAATGGAATTTCATTGGTGGGCGGGGAAAAATGAACAACTCATATAATTATGAAAGCATTTCTTCATTATGGATTTTCCCTGCTATCTCGCGTATTTGTTGTATTCACCACATTTAAAAAAGAAAATGTATGATTACCATCAGAATTTGAAGGTGGATCATTCATGGTGTTTTAATACTAATGTAATACTAATAATATAATACATTTGATATCTTAAGAAATTACTTGTTAACCTTGTTATCCGAGATCTAACATATTTTGCCTAGCGGAGTTCCGCGTCACAGATGTCTCGGTCCAGACCTCGGTCCAAGTGACGCTGGGCAAAGCGGAGAGCTCTGAGAGCTCCTTGGCCAAGGTCTCGTGCACCAGCAGCAACCTGAACCAGCAGCTACCACGACGTACCGCAGACGTACCGCGCGTCCGAAAGGGTCGATGTCGTCGTACCGCGGTCTCCGATTTTGGGTCCGAAGCTCGGCGGGTCCGAAGAGTGACGAGCAGTTCGTGTGGGACGAAGAGTTACATGTATACTGTATACATATGTTCCGGGGGGGGCTGGCCAGAAAGAGGGTGGAGAAGAAGAACCGCGAGCACGGCATAGCTTCCTTCGAATTGAAGGGTTCAAACATCGAATCGATTCGAAAAATTGATGTTGAAAAAAAGAACTCTTCTCACTCATTGTTCCCTGAAGCGATCACAACTTCCTTCCTGGATCTTCTGATTCTTACTTTTTCATATATATACGTTTAGATCTGTTCCATACGTCTGCGATCAAAACATCGTCTTCTCATGTCCAACCCATAAAACAAAGAACTCAAGGGACCCGGGACCAAGCCAAAAAGGCCATCTCAGGGTTCTGCGTCCACTTAGACTCCAAGGCGCAAGTCGTAGTACAAGGAGTTCAACTCGGCGGTCTCAATCAAATGCTCAGCTTCTGGAACAGCTGCAGGCACCGCCTCAGCTGCTTGACTGGACGCACGTCCCGCGTCCCCATGCGGGACTGGACGGAGCCGTTCATCCAGGTACGTGACCAACAGCCCGGTCGTACGCAAAAGGAGGCCAAACAAAGATGGATTTGAGATGGCGCCATTTTTGAAGCTGGTTTTGGGATGTTGTTGCGGTCATAGAACCCCATCTGTCTAAGACATCAGGATGGTGGGTCGAGACCGATCCGATGGTGGGCACGGTGGTGGGCACCAGGTGGACGGTCGTCGCCTCACATTCGTGAAATCCAACGACGTCAGGCTCCAGGTTTTGACGGACGAACACAATTCAATTCGTTGGTTTCCATCAAGGAAGCTGGTGATCCGAAATCAAACCGTCACGGAAGTCTACTAAACCGTCTCGAAAAAGACATCAGCTCCAAGCATATGCTCCAGTCGATCGAGTCTTCCTCAACCTTCATGCAAACTTCACACATCGCCCTGGTGCACCCATCTCCCATCTCTGGACCCTCCTGCTGGACTCGTCACCCACGTGTTTTTCGTGGTGGTTCTTCTCTGTTCGTCCCCTCGTCCCGTCCTTCCTCTCCGGTCCGGTGCTCGGTCCAATTGGTCCCACGGCACGTTCAGCAGACCCACGGAGAAGGCCAACTCCTTTTCCAGGCGCCAGAAGAGCTGGTGCACCTGGCAGTCGTGGAGGTCACAGAGGTCGTTTCCGCGTCCTCCAGTGGAAGACGAGGGTTGGGGGGGACCTTGACCGGAACAAGGGCAGGAGCTCGGTAGAGGGAGGGGATGAGCAAGATTGAGCCGCTGAGATGCTGCGGTTGACACACAGCAAGATTCAAGATGGCAAGCTGCAAGCTCGATTTTGCGAGTTCGAGAAGAAGGGGGAGGGCCCTTTTTGAAGGTGCCATTGGTCTCCAAAACCAACGAAAACACCTCAAAATGGGGCTCGTTGTCCGGCTCGTTCCTGCCTCCAGGATCGAGGTCAACGGTTTCTGCCGCAGCCGGGTCAAGGTCTTCTTCAAGATCCGTAGCTGATCACCTCGACCTAGAAACATGCGTTGCAGGGTCATCCAGTGTCATCCAGATTCATCATCTTTGAGAAGTGGTCTATTTTTACTTTTTGTTTTAGTTCACTGCTGCACTACTAGGAGACACTTGTGGTGGGTGGTTGTGATACTGTGGCCTGCAAAAAGCACCTTGAGAGGAGGTGCCAAATGTTCTGCAAACGATCGAAACACCGTCCGCTTACCACCGCGTGTTCTCGCGGCAACTCGCTGCCTATGCGCTCCGTCCAATCCAAATGCATCGCCTGGCAAGAACTCGGGGGCCACCCGAGTAAAGTGAAACAACGGTCGTCGGACGGCCTTCGGAGAGATCATGTGGACTCTTGATTAATAACCCCACCATTTGAATTGGAAATCCTCTTCTGCCTGGGGGGTTTTATGGTCCTCAAGAGTCTACATTACACGGAGTTCGAACCCAAAAGTTGCACATCCGATTTTGCCCTCTCGACTCAGACCTTGAATTCTCTGAAAACGACGCCCCAAGTGGAGGCAGCGAGAATCGGCCAAGTGGAGCAGTGGAGAATCGGCGAGCCCCGTAACTCGCCACTCTCAACAGGTCTCCACTCTACACAGGTTGATACCCTCCTGCAAAGGACCCCGTTGGACTCTCAAAACCACTGGGTGGTTGGCTTTGGAAGATGGTCCAAAGCACCACGGGTTGGGCAAGCTCTGCGGCTCTGGGGGTACAGTATCCACTGCCCCTCTGTTGTTTTGGCTCAGGGGGGCACCTGATGGCGATCCTGCATGTTGCATGTCGAATCCAGCACCTGTGCTTCCCGAAGTGTGTATGCAGGGAGCTCTGATCCGAAGCACTTTGAGGCACTTCTCCCAAGTTCAGTACCCCGCAGGTGGCCCAAACCGGGCCCCAAACCCCGTTGGGAGATCAATCCCACACAGTTGTCCAATGGAAAAGGACCTTCCCCCCAGCCGGTTCCATCCTAGTAGCCAGAAGCTGCTAGGTGGCCCTCACTATTAGCTTGGAGTCATTATATTGCAAGAAGCTACGACCGTAGCAAGAAGCGACGACCAGTTGGGGACCGTCTTTCTCATCCTTTCGGCCAAGGCGCCGTGAAATCCGCCATGTAATCCTCCAGCATGGGCGGCTCCATCTCTGGCTGGATGCCAATTTCTGCCAGCTTACTCAGCCTGGAGCGGTCCAAGCACTCTCCGCTTGAGCGGCCACAACCTTTTCAACAACCGGTCTGAGGTTGGGCCCCAGGCTGAGATTCCGTCAACCCAGACAACTGCCTTGCCGGGCTGAAACCATCAGGACCATACTGTCATATCACCGACATGGGCCATGGGTGTGTAGCTCAACTAGGGAGACTGACCCCCTTTCGACCCCCAGGAAGAAGGAGAATAGACCAGTCAACCCAGCCAGCATTTCAAGGCTGTCTTCAGGGATCCCAAAGAAGCGGCACCTCGCATGTCCAAGCCACTGATATTGGGATTGCAGTGCCGCCAGCTGTTCAGTGGCTTCGTTCTGCTCGATGACGTGACGATAGCCGTCCACCACCTTTGAGATGAACCAACTCGCCTTGGAGAAAACGGTGGATGCGTTGGACCCCGGCCTCTGCTGGTGAAGGCTCAGCTGCTTGGGAGGCCTTAAGGCCTTCGGTCGGGAGGCCTTGGCGAGTGTGTTACCCTATAGTTAGAGGATCTGAATTCTTGCTTACTCTAACACTACAGAATTCTTGCTGCAAGGTACCCTCAGTTTGATTTGAGTCCAATTTTCTTTGTGTACCGGTCAGTGGTCAGTGGTCTACCCTCCAGTCCACCCACACCCGTCGGTCGCCGAACCAGTTCTGCCCAACACCCGTCCCGGCACGGGTTTTTTGCCGAAGTGACTGGGAAGCGTCCCTGGAATGGTCGGGCGGTGGTGTAGGCATCGGTGCCCACCTCCAAAAACACGTCAAAGACGGCGTTGCTTAGCTTTCGGAAACGCTCCTTTTTCCCATCTTAAGGATGTTTACAATAGAGATCAATAGAGGCCTGGTCAGTGTTTGATGCGAAAGAAATGGTGTATGGGAAGAGGCGTTTCCCGCCAAAAAGCCAAAAAGGGCTCACAATCATCCACACCGATCTGAAACATCTTGAAATTCATCCCAGAACTCTCCGTTTCCTGACCGTTCCACCCTCAAACGCATCGGTGTCGCCGTCGTCCCGCGCCTCGTGCTGCGCCGTCGCCGACTCCGAGAGCGCACTCACCGCCTCGACACGGCGTTCGACCGAAGCAACGCGAGCCGCGAGCCGTGCCGCGCCGGAACGGCGCCTCGTTCTGCAAGCGGACGCTCAAGGGTGACAGCAAAGAGGCAGTCGAAAGCTTCAGCCAATGATCCTGCGGTGCGGACAACACTCTTGGACTGCCGTGTGCCTTACCAGTATCAGAAGAACTATTGGGTGACCGATCTAAAAACGGCTTTTCCCAAGCCGTTCGGCCCGGTTCAATCCAACAGCCCTCCACCTGCACGCTTCCACGGCCCACACAGTCCACTCGTCCGAACGCACCGGTCCCGCTTGCTGGGAATGTCCAAGAGTTCCAATCCAGAGTTGCCTCAGGCGGGACGTTCCCATGATCGCGCGCCCGAATCTGTTGGGGGTTGGATCACGGGTCGTATGGTGGCGGCGAAAACACCGCGCGAGTGTCACCACCGGTGAAGAAAGCGCTGGTGGCAATAAACGATCCATGCCAAAACTGGAAGTTGGGGACCCCATTTGGTGCAGAGAAAACCTTCCGAACTTGGTTCTTTCCACGCTTTGCCGCCTGACGGTGAAGAAAGAAAGCCTCTAAAAGTCAGGATGTTCCCCACAAGCCTCACCCACTTCTCCCACCCCAGAAGTCAGAGACATCTCTGGAATATCTCATGTGATGGCGTCTCAGCCGCTTTGATGTGATGTGTCATGCCGGGGGCGGCACGTTCCAGATGTGCCAGCAGCGCTGACAGGAGCGACCCCACCAAGACCACCACGCGGCCGTGCAAGGCCGCTCGGAAGGTGCCCGCCAAGGCAAGCTCCTGGCCGACGGAGCGGAGACGGAGCGGCCGGTGGCAACTGGTGGATCGTTGTTCGTCTGGCCTTAATTTAGATAGAAAGTGGCACGGCTTGGATTCTAGCATTACATGTTTGAGTGAAGATTTACGAACTTCTATCTATTTGGAGGTCTGTCTATATAGATCTGGTTGGTGGTCTCAACCTCTCAACCCACCAGGCCAGAATGACTCAGGAAGAACAAAAACAAACACATATGAAGACTGGGTAGACTGTGGATATGTTGTTTTTTTTAATCCCCAGGTCCAGGGCTTGAAGAGGCTTTATTTACAATCTGTGTCTGGGGAGGTTTTGTTTATCAAGATCCTACATGAAGATTGGCAAAACCTCCCCAGAGATTGATAAAACCTACATGTAGAGGCCTCTATTGATAAAGCCCCATGATGGATAAACCTCTCTGGGGAGAAGATCCTACATGAAGATTGGCAATGATTGGCCTTTGCCAATCAGTAGTGCCCCAAGAGGGCGAGACGGGTGTAGTCGACAGACTGTCTCGCGAGACAGACACGAAGACATCGGATCAAACAGTCACGATGATCAGTTCTGTGTTAACGTTCTTTGGATTTGTTTGATCAGTTCTGAGATTACACACACACACACACCCCACGGCTCGCCCCCCTCTCACGCGTGCGCTCTCACAAAAGCGCTCTCCTGCGCGGCAGAGGCGATCGCAGCGAACCAGTGCCTGGGCAGCTGGCGTTGCTTTGTGCCTTGGGTATATCCCATCACCAGGGCCCAGTGGATGATGCTGAGCTTGCAGGCCTTCCTCACAAAAAAGACAGTCAAAGTCCAGTGTTAATGAGTTTACCGACTGTTACAACTAAGACAGACCCATAGTACACGTATATCATGGCTTCTAGAGAGATCCACCTCTTTCTCTTTCCTCAGATCTCAAGATGCTTTGGTCTTCTCCCATCTCCATCCCGGTTGCCGCCCGTGAGCCGTCCGCCCCAGTGCACCACAAACGCCGCAACGAACGAAGCCCGCGCGCCTGTCATCACCAACGGAGCCCTCCGACGGGTTTGCCAGGTTCTTGGGCGTGTTCCGCAAGATATGCAGCACCTGGCGACTTCCGCATCACCCAGCTGCCTAGCCAAGCTGTTTGACCCTCTAGCTGTTGACTTTCTGTGTGACACAGACCGCTTGCGTCGCACCCCCCTTTTTTCAGGTGCATCTGCGTGCGCACGCGCCACCCCAAATGCCCAAGGCGCCCAGCCAGGAACATTTGGAAACATGGTCATGTGACTCTGGTGGTTGGAAAGCATCTCATGGATTTCTGATATCTAGGTACTAGCTTCTTGTTACTACTAGTAAGGCACCTGTTACTACTAGCGATGCACTTGTTCCTACTAGCTTATTGTTTCGATATTGAAGAAGTTGCCCACCCCTGCCACTGCCACTGAGTTGCCCAATCTCGCACCATCTTGACCTCAGAGCAAAGGCCGAAACTTCGACCAACTCATGCGTCTCCTTCTTACACCTTCGCTACACATTGATATCATTCAAACAAAAAAGATTCAACATATAATTGAACCACTTATATTCTATTTCTAAGAGAAAAAGGAGGCTGTGCCTTGGCCGCTCCGTTTTTACCTCAAGCATCAGGACATCGTCGCACTCTTAGGCCACATTCCAAGCGAACTCCCTCGGCGGCCCAAGCTGCAAAGTCCACATCTTCGATGTATTTCCTCGCCACGACGACGCTGTCCGGCGACGACGCTGTCCGGCGCGACGACGCGCCCAGACCGTCCGTGGTCCGCATCGCGATGTTGGGAGGGCCCTTGACATCCAACATACGGATCTTCTCTTCAAGTGGTCGCCGGTCTGTGTTAGGATGTCGAGTCGAAGGCATGGGAGAGGATCATCTAGGGTCTTCTCACTTCGTGCCCTCCCATATAGAGAAACCCATCCAAGACATTCCAAGACCAAATTTAAAGTCAGTGGTCTTTTGGTTACCCGGACAAGAATTTCCTTTACTTCAGTGGGGCAAAATATAGTCTTTGAACTTCTAGTAAGTAGGGTATATATGATATAATCATGTAATTTAAGTAAAATAGGGGGAGAGAGAGAGAGAGGAAAAAAGAAAAGGCGCGTGTTCATCTTTTTTTCGGCAAGGCACAACATCAGCTGGATCTGCTTCTGCAAATCCCCAGGCCGACGGGAGTGTGGATACCTCGCAGAGGTTGGCAGCAGAGGTTCGTCGGTGGATCCCACCATGGATCCACCATGACAGCAAGGGGTTGAAACCCTTCATGCATCACTTGACAACTTCCACCTAATAGCGATGGCCTCCAACCTAATAGCGATGGAAACCCGTCATGCATCACCTTTTCGCTTCCACAAGCACATGAACTGGGCTTTCGCACGCACCCCCGCCCATTCCCCCCATTCCTCGCGAGGATGGACCGTCCCAGGGAGAAAGTTCTTGACGAACACATCACATGGAAGTGGATACATGGTCCTTTGGAAGACTAGATTCCTTTACAAACACAGGGCGCCATCCCACTTCCATGTGATGTGTTCATCGGAGTGCAATCGGTTCGCAGCTGTGTATTCATGTTCTTTAGGTGCTTAGCTTCTGGCTGCTATTCTCTTCGCTTCATCTGATCATCTTCTTTGGCCCTATCTCCCAAATCCCTCCACGGTCCATGGGAAGCCACCCAAAACTGAACTCGTTTCCAAGGCCATGCGACCGCCCACGTTGGCCCCGGTGAGTCAACTCACCCGCGGCAACACCAAGGTACATGAGCCGTGACAGCGAGGATCGGAAGCAGCTGCGTAGCAACTTGGGGAACTCCAAACCTTCCACCACATCCTCGGATGTATGGCCGGTCAGTCCAGGTCTGTGTATTCTTGACCTAACGTGTGGTGAGCTGTGGTCTTTGCTGGCCTAGCTCTACAGGAAAAAACTGGATCAAAGTAAGAACATTCCAGCAGCTTTTCTCTGTCTTTCTTGCTCGCCATTTTAGGCCACCCTCTGAATACCCAGTTCTAACCCAATCCCAACCACCCGTCGCCTGTCCAACTCCCGTCGCAGTCACTCCAAAAACGCCGACCCTGGGCCTCCCCCTTGCTGCAGAAAGCTCACATAAGCTCACATAAGCTCACCAAGTGTCGATGAGGGGCATGTTCAACATGGCTCCCAACGACGGCATGGAGCTCAAGTCGGCGGACGGCTCCACGGAATCCAAGAAGACCGCCGACCACTGGGAATCGAAGTCGAAGGAGAACTTCCCGTCGTAGCCTGGGTCGGGGTCGTAAGTCGATGGGTCGGGTTTTGGGCCCGGTCGTGGTGGGGGGACGGAGATGGGGACGGGACGGTATGATGTCAGGGTACCTAGCCTAGCCTAGCTGGAGGAGTGGCTGGATGGCGGCTAGGTGGAAGGCGGCGTTGGTGGAAGGCGGTTCGAGGGCAAAGGACGCTGGAGTCAGGGCGGTCGGGTTCCGAAAAAAGGGTCGGTTTGGGGGTTGGAGCAAGGCGGAAAAGGGGGTGAAGCAAAGAAGATCCTAAAGACATGGGATTGCAGGGCTGTGCCTGTGGTTTTTTGAGGTGTGTTTGATTCGTGGCTGTTCGAGTCTAACTTCTGTGCGAAGATTTAAACGATGTGAAGTCCATTTTCAGAGCACATCTCTGGAACCCCACGCTGGTCGAACAGTTCACGTGGCTTGAGATCCCGTCTTCGCCCCCACACGCCCTCCCACGCGCGATCGCTGGCTTCCGCCCGAAACCGCGTGCCTCGTTGAAGGTGAACCACCAGGACCACAAACATGCTGCCCTCCACGCCTTTGCCCTTTTGGCAGAAGCTGTTGCGTGCCTTCCATGCCCGCCGAGCCGCGCGGACGTGCCGGGGGGGTCCGGCAGGCTGCGGGCTCCGAAGGAAGTTCCGGGACTCTTCCGTTGGGAAGGTGCAAATTGAAGGGAGGGTTAGCCGGCAGCCCTTTTGCACCTCGCCGATTCGATCCCCCAAGCTTCCCCAAAGTTCGAGCGAGATCTTCAGTCGCCCCCTCCCACCCAATGGGGGAGGGAACCCCTCCCCGTCCGTCTTCGCCGAGACCCTCAGACCCTCGGCGAACCGGCCGAGGCGAACCGGGCCTTCTCGCACACGAAGCGGCAGTGCTCGATCATCCGAACCGAGGCCGCGACCGGGTCCGCGTGGATGATCCTCGGATCGGACCGGTGCTCGATCCGCGGAGCCGCGGCGGAGAAGACCCTCCTCGTTCTGTGTCCCCCGAAGCGGTGAAACATCCTCACCTACCAACCTCACCTACCAACCTCACCTACCAACCTCTTCCTCTTCGTCTTCGTCTTCCTACTCTATAGCTTAGTCTACTCTCTCTCTCTCTCTCTCCCTCTCTCCCTCCTCGCGCCAAACCTCGAAAAAAAAAAGGACAAAACCTCCCAGCGACAAGAAGTTCTTCGCGCCCGAGGCATCGGTCAAGTTGTAAAAGTCGTGCACGGCCTGCCGGTCGCCGCAGACACGTCGCGACGTCGGACGGTGGCCCGGCCGAAACTGGGAGTCGCACCGGTTTGAAGGGTCGTCAGCATGTTGGTTCAACAAGCGATTGGATGGTCGCGCCTGAAAGTAATAATAGATCATATAGATTGATGAAAAAACAACTGGTGGTTTTTTATGCTACAACTGAACAGGTCCCACTGACCACGGCCGAGGCATCTCTTGGCGTTGCAAACAGAAACACGATGAAACACTTGGAAGAGTAAGGGTTGGTTGAACGAAGGCCACTTGCTTCACTCAGTTAAGCATAGTTAAGCAACCATGAGCTGTGAATACGAAAACAAGTCGTATTAAAGAGATGGGGTTTGTCAAAAGAAAAGGATGGCTCAGGTGTTGATGTGGCATGTCATCTTTGAGCGGCATGCGCTTTGGTTTGTTGGATGGTTTTCCCATGTTGGTCCTTTTGGGCCCTGGGACTTGTGGAGTAAGAGCATCGATCTGGGAGGGCGCCTGAATCTTAAGGCAATGAGGGTTTACAAATGTGAGGCGTTTCTTCCACCAGCGCAAGCCTGCTTTTTTCAGACAGGCGCCAGCCTCCTTCTTTGCGCATGCATCAGCTTAAGAAGAGACACAGGCAGTATGCAGCCCCCCTGATCCTTCCTTGCTTGGATCCCCGACGCGACCGGTGGGACTGCCATAAAGACTGCCGATCAGGCCAGGGGTGATCGGTCGTCGGGGGTCTGTCGGCAGTCCGGCAGTCCGGTCGTGCATGGGGATTACTGTTCGATCCCTTGGTAGAAGTCCAACACATGAGTTCCCAAACCGTGTTCGGGTTCGTTCCACCGGGTGTTCGGGCTCGTTACCGGTGAACCGCCGCGTTCCGTTCGTTGCGCCGGGGGTCGGACCGGAACAGGCGGCCTTTTCGATGTCGGTGGAGGAGGAGAGCTCATGCAAGGAGACCTCTGCCCGTGCCACCAGGCCTTCAACCTTGCCCAACTCAGCGCCCACCTGGTTGAGGGGCACGGCGTGGTGAACGGCAACGAACGCGCCGGTTTCGGAGCAACCACGGGTCCAAAGTCCAGCTTTTTGAAGACAGGCACAGCACACGGTCGAAGGAGGCCGATCTGTTTCACATCGGATCTGCTTGGACCAAAGACTGGAGAGCTCAATGAGGCCCATTTGCACAGGTGCACAGGTACGCTTCGATACGTGCTCGGTCTGGCCTGGCCTTGCCACGGATAGGGCTGTAGGTCATGACCTGGACAAGTCTCGCACGTTGCGTCAGGAGAGGTGGAGGGGAGCATCACCTGATGTACATAAATTTATATGGTTCCAACTGCATATGAAAAATCAGGAGAAAAGAAAAATCAAGAACACTCATGGATTTGCCACATCTCTGAGCAATCAGTGTAGTCTCCGGCTCCCTTTTCAACAGGCGAAAGTTCAGTCCACTTGGCCCTTCAAAAATCAAGCACAGCTCGCTCACTCTCCTCTTTCGTCCAGCTCAGACTCTCAGTGTCCGGCCATGGTCTGGCCACCATACTCGTCGCACCAGAACTCCTGGAGACGGCGTGGGAAGCCACAAGCTCGTCGCACCAAGCAACGGCTTGCGGCATCGCAGGGCGAAAGCTCTTGGCGAAGCTCCATCGAAGTCGGTGAAATGTCCGGGATGAAAGACGAAAGAAGTCCAACTGTGAGGACATCGTCTTGAGGTATTCCAGACCCGGTCTCTTCCTGTTGTGGCTGATTTGAATCACCAAACTTGCGATATCACCAAACCCCCCACGGTTTAAACTCCGCACATGGCCCAAACCGGGTCGCCACCACCGGTCATCCTTGTTCTGCACGGTCATCTCCGCAAAGGATGGCAGATCCGAGTGCCTGACACGTGCCGCGTGTGCGTCGGTCGTAGTCCCTGCCTGTCCGGTGGCCCGGGCCTCTGTTGTTCGAAGTATTCGCTCACGATGTCAAAGCCTGCCGGGGTGGGGTTGAAAAAAGGCCAGAATTGCAGTGAAGTGACCTGTGATGGATTGCCAACGGAATAGAAGAAACAATGAAGACATTGTAACCAGTGAATGTCTGTTTGTGTGTGGCTACACAGCACCACTAGGAACTATATAAGGAAACCCTAGGAACTATTCCAAGAACCACTTGAAACTATAAAGCAAACACTGGAAACTGTCCAGTGCATCATGTGGGAAGGTATGGATGCTTATCTTGGAACACATCTGCTGGTTCACTTGTTTGCCACGGTTACCCCTAGCACAGCAGCGTGACATCGTGTGAAAACAAAGGTGTGAGTCCAACTGCTCATGGGTCAAGGTCACTCCGGCTGCTTCAGCAAGCACCTTTTCAACTCCGACGTGGAGGTTGACAGATGACATCTCATCTCACATCCCAGACTCAAAATCAAAAGCACTGAGTGCTGTGCCTGTGATGCCCCAGCCGCCGCCAAAGGTTCTGGTTTATATACAGTAACAGTAACAGTATTTATACAAGCAACATGAACTTAGGTTTTATTGTTTACTGGTTTTGGCCCTGGCTCTATGGCGCCACGCTACGCCAGCACTCAGTCCAACAAACCCGCAAGCACTGTAGTGCTTAGTGCCTAGAGCGGCTTAGCTCGCTTGCGCTCACTCTTCTCCTTGGATTCCCTGCGCTTCTTCTCAGGCGCGGCAGGCGCACTCTGCGCATTTGCCTCCAGCTCTGTCTTCCTTTTGCGGCTGGAGTCGCTGCTAGAACCAAGGGCTTGAGCCACTTGAGAAGCAAGCTTCGGGGCAATCTCCTTCAAATCTTTCAAGGTCATGCCAAGCTTGGTGCCAAGGTAGTTCATTACCTTGGGAAGCACGGCGCTGGTTTGTCCAGCATGCTTTGGATTCAGGAAGACGTCTGAGGCCACCATCACTGAAAGAGTCTCCGCCACACTGGTACGGACAGCCTCGACAGGATTCAGGTTGCAAATCCTCACTCACGAGTCGGACAACATGTGCGAATTTAAGTGAAAAATGTCAATGTCAATATTTAATAATCTCAGCAGTGAACCAACTCGGCTTAAACTATTTGGTCACTTGGCCTGCGCATCCGATGCAATGTCTTTCAATTCACGGGTGATCGTCTCAAAGTAGGCACTGTCTTTGCCGCTGAACCCACACGCACAAATCTTGTTGACTGCACCGGCGAGCTGAGACAAGTCAGAGCGAAGTTCCAGCATCATGGCAGTGTCACTGTCACAGTCTGGGGAATTTTGGAACATCCAAAGGACTGGTTCCATTTCCCAATTTGCCGCAGCACCCTTCACACACCTGCACGGCTTTCCAAACCAATTTCCAACAAAAATAGTAAGTACAGTAATGCTATAAAACCGAGTTAATCAGTGTCACAGTAGTCAAAAAATATATAATATATATAAATAATCTATATAATAATAAGCATGTCACCATGTCCACCAAAAAGTCTACAATAGGCTTCTTCTTCTGCTGTGTCTGCCTCGTAAAAATTGACTTGACTAGACTCTTGATAACTTAGCACTTGGCACAACTGCGACTGACATCAAGGAAGTTTGCGGACGATTCAATGCAGACTGAAGACTTGGGGAAACCAGCCAAAATTGTTTTGATTGCATCCCGAAGGGCTCAAACTTCTTGTTCAGCCTGTCCAGCTGATTGATTGTGCTCTTGAAGGAATCGGCATGCTCCCGCAGCTTGCCCTCGACCTTCGTCTTGAAGTCGATGCACATATCAAGCTGCACAGGGGATATGTCCTTCATGAGGTCTTTGTTGATCGATGAAACCTTTGTGTAGTCGGGCATTACTTCAGCCAACTCCACGAGCGACTCACCAATGTCAGACGGAAAACTGTTACCAGTGCACATGCTGGCCGTCATGATGCAAGCCTCAAGATAGGGCGTTGGGTGGCACAATGTCTGCCTGGGGTCAACTGTCTTGTCAGAAGCCATGGATGCTTTGAGCCACGCCAAGCCTTGAGAATCAAGCTTCTCTGCCAGGCGTTCCAGCGCTGCTGTGCACGCAGTGAAGAGCTTGAGCACTGTGGGGTCACAGGCCTCACGCTCCACATGGTGCCGCCGGGAAAACACTTCTTTGCGCAACTTGAAGTGCAACCTGCAGGCCATCTGCAAAATGACTTCTTCCGGCGCTTTCACACAAGCTCCCTGAAACTCCTTGACCAATTGGACGAACTCTAGGATGTTGTCCATTGCGAAAGCGGTCTTCACATCAATGATGCGGATCAGGCTACCTCAAGTCACATTTCTTTCTTTGGTAAGAGGCAAGGCTCAAACACATCAACAAATCTGATGTCCAGGAGTGATAGTAGCTGTAGACAGTTAGCTGTAGACAGTTAGACTAATGAATCCTGGAATCCTGGGTTACAATTACGGGTCCGGTCCATTTCATTCTGATAAATTTGACAAGGAACCAAGGAGAGTAAAGGCTTCTAGCCACTGAAAACCATCTGCCTCCTCGCAAATGACAGATTTTGGTCCTTCGGTGACCATCCAAAGCTTGGCAACCCAGCTGTCAATGGTCTGGAGGTTTGGTCCGACCCAGGTAGGAAGAAGAGTCGACAAGCACTCGACATCCACCTCCAAGAGGTTCTTGATGGTTTGCGCCTCCTCATTCTCATTGCTGACGCTGCCAAGCTCAGAAATCAGAGTTTTGAGATCACTGTCGGAGCACTCTGAGATCAACTTCTTCTGGGTGTAATCAAGCACTGGAACATCTGCAGTGCCAGAGCCCTTGTCCTTCAAGACCGCAAGAAGTGCATCCATGGAGGTGTGGCGAGCCTTAGCAGCATCGATCATCCGATCCTTGTCAACGGCCTTCTTGCCCTCAGTCACAACCTTTTGCCAAAGCTGCCTCAGTGTTTCTCAAGACTCAGACTTTCAGATTTTTGCAGTATGAAACCCGCACATCCCTGCCCTTTCAAAATTTGATCAACAGATCAACACCAAGAGGAAAGGACTTGGAAGGACAACGCTTTCCCCGTGACTTCAGCGAATGGCATTGAATTTCAGAACTTCAACCAGACCAGACCAAACCAAACAAGGTACTTCCAAGCTTGGCTTTGCCGCAAAGCCAGTGTCACGCGTGAAGAAACGTCTGAACAGGTGGAGGCAGCCCGGAAATGGACACGGTGCACGTTGGTCACTGGCTCTGACTGGTGCTCGAGGTGGGCGATGGAGAAGCAGCAAACCAGCTTCTGAAGGTCGACCAATGCCTGCATGGTGAAGCCTGTTTGGTTGTCAAAGATGTTGCTGTCCAAGGCTGTGATGCCCATCGGGTCATTTGAATTCAGCCCAGCCCTCAGGGAAAAATATCGATTAGATGTGAACTGATGTGATGTTATAAAACTGTCGGGACCTGGAACCTATGTAGTAGTAGGATGGATTCAGTGCACGCGTTTGCAAAACACTGGCTCGGCTCTGCCCCTACTACGATTTGCCGTGAACATCTGCTGCGCAACAACCCGTTTGGAAGAATTTGCAACGGCCCTTCTTCACCAGTGCAATGTGTAAGTTAATGTCAACGTGTCACAGTGTTCATTGCTAAGATGAAAAATGATTATGATCAATGATCAATGACAAATGATAAAAGGATAGGATTCCGGATGTTAGAGGCAGCCGCAGTGATTCAACCCCTGAGGCGCCTCAAGATGTTGACATTGTTTGCAAAATCCAAATCTCTCAAGCCCTTCTTTGACATACCTGTGAACTTTGCCATCGGCAAGGTCTTGAAGCCTTCCATCCATGCATGCACCAGGGTCATTTGAGTCCGAAGGAGCATGCGGTCCAGGGCATCTGTCTGGCCAAAAAGGCAGCCAAAGTTGAAATGAGGCTCCGCGGACTCAGACTCCTTCTTGACAGACACGAATCGCATGAATGCCGCTGCAGCTTGTTCCTAAAAGGGTAATGTTAGTCGATCCCAAGAACCCAGCTTTGCACAAAAAATAAGGCGTAGACCGTAGACTATGGACTATGGTTATGATAATATAAATAATGCATGAATATATGAATATGTTGCAGTGGTCCAGTTCGGTGAAATGGCTTTTGTGATGGCTTAAAATGCCAGGGCCAGGGCTAGTGTATTCATTCATGGCTTTTGGTCGCCCAGACCTCTGCCAACCTCTGCCCCACAGACATCAGCAGGTTTGACAACGTGTCCGGCTCCACTTGGGGCAGCACTTCAGAGAACTTGGTGACCAAATCTCCGTCAGTCAAAATTGGGTAGACCTGCTTGGCTGCCTTCAGCCTCCCAAGAACCTCTTGAAATTGGCCTATGGCGTTGACCTTCTTCTCCAGCTGGTTCGCCAGACCCTCCAACTCACCCTGGACTGGAGACCCTCCCAGAGTTGTGGCTTGCTGTGAGAGCTGTGAAGCGGTGGTAGATGCCTTCTTCAATCGGGCAGTGACATCAGCATCCTTGCAGGCATTGTTCCAAATGCCCGAAGGGGTCAATGGTGCCAAAGTCCCCAAAACCTTCGTGGCCTGCTCAAGAGCCGCCTTGCCCTTCTCCACGGCCTTGCTATTGATTTGAAGTGTCTCTGACTGAACGGCTGCGGGCGCTCCGGGACCTTTGGCCCTGTGCCTCTTCTCTGGGACGGAAGCACCCGAATTTGCTGGTGGCTGAGGCTTCGAAGCACCTTTAGCTGCCTTACTTCCGCTGGACTTGGATGCCTTGCCACCCCAAGCCGAAATTCACTTGAAGCGTCACTGGCAATGCCATCACCATCCGCGCCCTTGTCATCTTCACCGTCGCTGTTGCTCTCGTTGCCCAACGCTTTCTCGAGAGCCTCCTCTCAATATCTCACGCTCACATGTTTTATAACTTATAAGTTCATGAGATGATGATGTGATATGATTTATATAATTTATATCAGATATGATGATTTGATTTGATGATGATGCATTGAGCTACACATTACGTTGACAGTGGTCAGATGCGAATGGTTTCCTGATG